TGTCTGACTAACAATTTTATCACCCTGTATTATTTAAAACGCTCAGTTTTGAACACAAAAGTAGGAGACTTACAAAGAAACAAGAAAGTATGGCCTACACTCAGTTTAAAATACCATACAGTAGAAACTGTAAGACCTGCAGACAGACAAGCAAACATAAGAAGCCAGCTGAAATTATCCAATCTGAGCAAAAACAAAGAATAAAAATTAAGATGTCTCAGAGGCCTGTGGGGACACCATCAAGCATACCAATACATGCATGTGGGAGTCACAGGATAGGGGCAGGAGGAAAGAAAGGGTATTTGAGAAAATAACGGTTCCAAGCTTCCCAAGTGGATGAAAAACCTTAACCCACATAACCCAGCTTAGTAAACTTCATGTAGGATAAACTCAGAGGTCCACACCTAGGCATATCCACACACTAGTCAAGCTACTGACAGACAAAGTGGGTATCTTGAAAGCATCCGGAAAAAAGTGACTCCTCACATCCAAGTGACCCTCAATAAGATGAACAGCTGACTTCTTATCTGAACGCTGCAGGCGTGAAGACCAAGATGTGACATTTCAAGTGTTGAATAGGAAGACTATCAACCAAGAATTCCATACATATTGAAACGTCAAAATGAAGCACAGTCCAACAGAAAAACTAAGGAAAGATTCAAGATGTTCTCAGATGAAAATGAGAGCATCTGTCACTTTCACTCTCCCTACACGTAACACCGAAGGGAGTTCCTCTGACCGAAAAGAAAGGACAATAGTGACTAATTTGAATCCACATGCAAAAGTAAGAAGCACCAATGATAGAAGGTAATTACACAGATAAATATAAAAGACAGTGTAAATGTGTTTTAATTTGTAACACTTTTCTTGTCCTAACTTAAGACAACTGCATAAAAACAGTAATCATGAAACTGCATTTATGAGCTTACTGTGTATAAATGTGTAACTTATCTGGCAGTAAGGCTTCCCAGGTGGCTCAGTGGTAAAAAATCTGCCTGCAAATGCAGGAGACACGGGTTTCATACCTGGGTCAGGAAGATCCCCTGAGGAGGAAAGGGCACCTCACTCCAGTATTCTTGCCTGGGTAACCCCGTGAGAGGACAGAGGAGCCTGGCGGGCTGCAGTCCACGGGGCTGCAAAGAGTTCCACATGACTGAGTGAAGGCAGGCAAAGCACATCTGACAGTAATAGTACAGAGAAGGCGCTCACAATGGAGTTACAGTGGAGCAAAGTCTTTGTATACTATTCAAATGAACTTGACATTAATCTGAATTAGATTGTTTTAAGATGTTAGCTGAAATTTCTGGACCAACAACTAAGGAAACAACTAAAGAAAAAAAATATAGTGATCTCCACTTTACTAAATCAATTCTCAGCCCTAATCTTGTAACAAACGACACAGGTTGATCACTATTTTCTCTTTGAAACACGTTTTTTCCTCCTAAGTCTCACTTGTTGGAATCTCCTCCTTTCTCCAATCTCTAAATGGCTGAGGGGCTCTGGACTCAATCCTTGATGTCCTTCTCTATCCTGTCTTCATTTACTTGTTAGGTGATCTTACCCAGTCTTAAGACTCCTAATATCAGCTGGATACTGATGGCTCCGAAATTTGTATCTATATCCCTAACCTATCCTCTGAGCACCAGAGCCAGCACATCCAACAGCCCATTCCGAATCTCACCTTTTACATCTAATAGGTTCAGTTCAGTTCAGTTCAGTCACTCAGTTGTGTCCGACTCTTTGCGACCCCATGAATCGCAGCACGCCAGGCCTCTCTGTCCATCACAAACTCCCAGAGTTTACTCAAACACATGTCCACTGAGTCGGTGATGCCATCCAGCCATCTCATCCTCTGTCGACCCATTCTCCTCCTGCCCCCAATCCCTCCCAGCATCAGGGTCTTTTCCACTGAGTCAGCTCTTTGCATCAGGTGGCCAAAGTACTGAAGTTTCAGCTTCAGCATCAGTCCTTCCAATGAACACCGAGGACTGATCTCCTTTAGGATGGTCTGGTTGGATCTCCCTGCAGTCCAAGGGACTCTCAAGAGTCTTCTCCAACACCACAGTTCAAAAGCATCAATTATTCGGCGCTCAGCTTTCTTCACAGTCCAACTCTCACATCCATACATGACCACTGGAAAAACCATAGCTTTGACTAGATGGACCTTTGTTGGCAAAGTAATATCTCTGCTTTTTAATATGCTGTCTAGGTTGGTCATAACTTTCCTTCCAAGGAGTAAGCGTCTTTTAATTTCATGGCTGCAATCACCATCTGCAGTGATTTTGGAGCCCCCCAAAATAAAGTCTGACACTGTTTCCACTGTTTCCCCATCTATTTCCCATGAAGTGATGGGCCCAGATGCCATGATCTTAGTTTTCTGAATGTTAAGCTTTTCACTTTTTCACTCTCCTCTTTCACTTTCATCAAGAGGCTTTTTAGTTCTTCTTCACTTTCTGCCGTAAGGATGGTGTCATCTGAGTATCTGAGATTATTGATATTTCTCCCAGCAATCTTGATTCCAGCTTGTGCTTCATCCAGCCCAGTGTTTCTCATGATGTACTCTGCATATAAGTTTAATAAGCAGGGTGACAATATACAGGCTTGACGTACTCCTTTTCCTATTTGGAACCAGTCTGTTGTTCCATGTCCAGTTCTAACTGTTGCTTCCTGACCTGCATATAGGATTCTCAAGAGGCAGGTCAGATGGTCTGGTATGCCCATCTCTTTCAGAATTTTCCACAGTTTATTGTGATCCACACAGTCAAAGGCTTTGGCATAGTCAATAATGCAGAAATATATGTTTTTCTGGAACTCTCTTGCTTTTTTGATGATCCAGCAGATGTTGGCAATTTGATATCTGGTTCCTCTGCCTTTTCTAAAACCAGCTTGAACATCTGGATGGAGCCAAGGCAAAAACAATACCTAGTTGTGGTTGTGACTGGTGATAGAAGCAAGGTCTGATGCTGTAAAGAGCAATATTGCATAGGAACCTGGAATGTTAGGTCCATGAATCAAGGCAAATTGGAAGTGGTCAAACAGGAGATGGCAAGAGGGAATGTTGACATTCCAGGAATCAGTGAACTAAAACGGACTGGAATGGGTGAAGTAACTCAGATGACCATTGTATCTACTACTGTGGGCAGGAATCCCTTAGAAGAAATAGAGTAGCCATCATGGTCAACAAAAGAGTCTGAAATGCAGTACTTGGATGCAATCTCAAAAATGACAGAATGATCTCTGTTCATTTCCAAGGCAAACCATTCAATACCATGGTAATCCAAGCCTATGCCCCAAACAGTAATGCTGAAAAAGTTGAAGTTGAACAGTTCTATCAAGACCTACAAGACCTTTTAGAACTAATATCCAAAAAAGATGTCCTTTTCGTTATAGGGGACTGGAATGCAAAAGTAGGAAGTCAAGAAACACCTGGAGTAACAGGCAAATTTGGCCTTGGAGTACAGAATGAAGCAGGGCAAAGGCTAACAGAGTTTTGCCAAGAGAATGCACTCGTCATAGCAAACACCCTCTTCCAACAACACAAGAGAAGACTCTACACATGGACATCACCCGATGGTCAACACCGAAATCAGATTGATTATATTCTTTGCAGCCAAAGATGGAGAAGCTCTATACAGTCAGCAAAAACAAGACCGGGAGCTGACTGTGGCTCAGATCATGAACTCCTTGTTGGCAAATTCAGACTTAAACTGAAGAAAGTAGGGAAAACCACTAGACCATTCAGGTATGATGTAAATCAAATCCCTTATGACTATACAGTGGAAGTGACAAATAGATTTAAGGGACGAGATCTGATAGAGTGCCTGATGAACTATGGACGGAGGTTCGTGACACTGTATAGGAGACAGGGATCAAGACCATCCCCAAGAAAAAAAAATGCAAAAGGCAAAATGGTTGTCTGAGGAGGCCTTACAAGTAGCTGTGAAAAGAGAAGCGAAAAGCAAAAGAGAAAAGGAAAGATATTCCCATTTGAAGGTAGAGTTCCAAAGAATAGCAAGGAGAGACAAGAAAGTCTTCCTCAGCGATCAATGCAAAGAAATAGAGGAAAACAACAGAATGGGAAAGACTAGAGATCTCTTCAAGAAAATCAGAGATACCAAAGGAACATTTAATGCAAAGATGGGTTCAATAAAGGACAGAAATGGCATGGACCTAATAGAAGCAGAAAATATTAAGAAGAGGTGGCAAGAATACACAGAACAACTGTACAAAAAAGATCTTCATGGTCCAGATAATCACGATGGTGTGATCACTCACCTAGAGCCAGACATCCTGGAATGTGAAGTCAAGTGGGCCTTAGAAAGCATCACTATGAACAAAGCTAGTGGAGATGATGGAATTCCATTTGAGCTATTTCAAATTCTGAAAGATGATGCTGTGAAAGTGCTGCATGCAATATGCCAGCCAATTTGGAAAACTCAGCAGTGGCCACAGGACTGGAAAAGGTCAGTTTTCATTCCAATCCCCAAAAAATGCAATCCCAAAGAATGCTCAAACTACTGCACAATTGCACTCATCTCACACGCTAGTAAAGTAATGCTCAAAATTCTCCAAGCCAAGCTTCAGCAATATGTGAACCGTGAACTTCCAGATGTTCAAGCTGGTTTCAGAAAAGGCAGAGGAACCAGAGATCAAATCTAATAGGTACTTCCACCTAAATGCCTAATAAATGTCTGCATGGCTCACTGCTCAAATGTAACGTCTTCAGAGCAACTTTCCATGACTATCCTATGTCAAACAGACTCTCTACCTCACACTCTCCATCCCATAATCTTTTAAAATTTTTCTTCATGGCAGTCATCACAACCTATTTATATATGTTTTAGGTTAAGTTCTAAGTGCTGAATCCTTGTTCACTGCTTTACCTTAGTGCACAGAACATACCTGAATATTTATCAAAGGAAGAGAGGGAATACTGATTAGGAATAAATGTATAAAAGACTTTTTAACCAATACATAAAACATACAATGAAGATACTTACTTTTCCTTTTTTTCTTGTTTGTGGGCCTCTCTTGTAATTTGAGCTGCTTTTCTACTATATGGATGGATGACTTTTTTTTCTTGTCCTACACTTTTTCCCTTTGGTGCTTTAGGCTGAAATGTAGAGAAGTATATGACACACATAGCCAGATACATAAATGACTTCTGTCAAAAAATTTTCTTTAGAAATAAACATTTTAAACAGTAGTATAACAGAAATACCGTGAGCTGGAAATACGTCACTAGAAATCAGGAGCTATGCCAGACTCAGTCTTTGTTTCCATGGTCCTAAGGGAAATGATACACAGTTGGCCTCTGAACAACACAGGCGTGGAATGTGTGGGTCCACCTGAACGCAGATGACTGTGTCCCACAGTGAGTACTCCAGTGCTGCATTATCTCTGTTTATGGAGGAACTGTATACATGGAGGGCTGACTATAAACCACACGCAGACTTCTGACTGAGCGGAGAGTTGGTGCCCCTAACCCCTGCACTGTCCAAGAGTTAACTGTATTCAGAACTATGCTCCAGTGACGTAAGAAAATAAAGGCAGAGAGTTAATAACCCAGGTTTTCAACTGTTCCATCTTCAAAGCAGATAAAGAAAATGCAGATAGTGAGGAGAGTCATAGGTGGTCATCTGCATAAAAGTTAAAATTAAGAGAGGGTAGAAGGAACCCAAGATGTTAATAGGAGCCTGACTGTAGAAGCTGCACAAGAAGCTGTAGAAGACAGTGGGCGGTGAAGACAGCAAAATGAAAGCTGGATGCACGGGAAATAAGAAGAGAGGGAATAATATAAGCCATCTCAAATCAGCCCACTCCAAAAGAAACAAATTATTTTCCCATTCAAGACTTAACCAGGTCCTCTAAACTAGCTGTCTAGCATTTCAGTACTGTTTTATTCCTACATACTTCTGTTATCTTATATCTGACCTAAATTACTCAGGAACTTTGGCTCCCTGTAATAGAAAGCCAAAATAACAGTGGCCTAACCCAGATGAAGTTAGCTCTCTCCCACAGAAAGCAGAAACTGGAGGCTCTGCACTATGGAGCCCTGAGACCCACTCCTTCTTGCTGTTGTCCTCAGATGGAACACCAGGCCTTCAGTCCAGCCAGTAAGAGGCAGAAGAGAAAATCAACAGGCATGTTCGTTCAATATTAAAGGAGGATTATATAACTGATTAGTAAATATAGCCTTTATTCCCAGAAAAAAATACATGATTATAGAAGAAAAAGACGCTCTTTAGGGGACAGCTGGCAGTCTAACACATCTCATCTTCAAAAAGGTCACATATTTAGAATATTCTCTCCAAAACTCCTGTCACTGCTTTAATGCAGCCTCACAGTCTTTCATGATTAAGGTGGCCTTCAGGTTCTCACTGCTACTCCTTTTTCATCGGAAGACTCAAAGTGCACCTGCCTAGAACACTAACGAGTAAAGTCCTTCTGCCCTGTAAAGGGCTTCACTAACTCAGTTAGGCCTAAAACCTTAACATGAGAAACAAACTCCTCCCACTTACTCTCCAGCATTACACCCCACTCAAAAGACTTTTCATCACATTCTTACTAACTTCTCACCATTCCCAGAACATACCATGCTGTTTTGCTTTTTTTTCTTTAACTTCTGGAGACTCAACTTGTTACCTCTGCCAGTAAAATCTTTACTTGTCCTCTGATAAAATGCAGCTCAGTCACTTCCTTTATAAAACTGTCCAAGTAGAATTAATCAAAATGACCACCACACATATGTATTCATTTCTTCAACAATTATTAACTAAAATACTGAATAAATATTTACTATTGCCTTCTTGATAAACATGACCAGAGAAGATGAACTCCAAGTGTGAAACCCAGGCTGCCCCAGGAGCTGGTCAGGGGTACAGGAGTATAGTGTGAAACCATCATCAGAGTATGTGCGTTCTTCCACGTGTCTCTCTGCACGTGTGGAGGGAGGAGACAGGAAGGTGTAACAGGAACTTCTGTGCGTGAAGGTTAGCCAGCAAACACAGATCAAGTAAAACTTTCAGAACTTAAGGCAGGCTGCCTCTAAGATGGTCCCCAATGACCCCACCTCCTGAGGCTATATGCGTCCGTCCATTCCCTTGAGTGTGGGCAGGACCTCTGGCTCACTTTGTGGCCTAACATTTGGGAAAGTGATACCCATCAGTCCCGAAATAGGTTACGAAAGGACCCTGGCTGTGTCTTGCCCACTCCACTCTGCCCTCTCTGGCTGCCTCCGATGGAGACTAGCTGTCTTGTGGTAAGCTGCCCTACACAGAGGCCAGTGGGACAAGTGACTGAGGGAAGCCTCAGGGAGTGAGGAACTGAGGCCCTCAGTCCAACAGCCCACAAGGAACTGAACTCCACCAAGAACCATGTGAGGTAGCTGTGAACTGGACCCTCCCCAAGCTGTGCCCTGAGACGAAGCCACAGCCTCAGCTTATACTTTGCAATCTTGTGAGAAACCTTGATGGAGAGGACCCAGGTAAAGTATCCCTGGTCTGTGAGATAATAAACTCTTAATTTTTTAAGCCGATGAATTGTGGGATAGCTTGTTAAAGAGTTAACTGATGCAAAATCAAAAAAACAAAGCAAAGATATCTTTGCAAAGATATTTTTATTTCACACATTCCAACAAATAAAGTGCTTTCAAAAAATGGAACAAGATCACAAAATTCTCAAGAAAAAAAGATGGTCTCTGAAGCTGTAAAACTTAACTGAAGCTACAGACTTGTGTAACATTGTTTTAGCAGTAAGCTCAAGTCTACAGAAAATTTCCTTTAAAGATTTAAAAACTTTCTTTAGAACAAGGAATAGTTTGATAACCCTTGGAGTACAAAATAGCCACACAGCTTTAGAAGACCTCATTTTAAAGAACCTCTAAGACTTAGTTCAAAGAAAGTACAAAGAAACCAAACTTACATTCTGACTTAACTGTGAATTATGACTCCTTATAATAATTTATTCATGAAAAAGTTGCCTCAAGGCAGGTTATAAATATACAATAAGGCACAGAAATATGTACCATAAAATAATAAATTTCAAAAAAGTTCTGTCAATATATTAATTTTTTTTTACAAAAAAACAACAAAATGCTCCAACAGGAGAAAAATGAAGTAACAGCCTATCAATAAAAATTAATTACATTCTATTCAAACTACTTAATTAAAAAGCAATCAATATTCATTAGTCAGGGATTCTTCAAAATTTTATGAAACATCTGACAATTCATAAGATAGTATAGAAACATTCTATATATTGGAGGGGAAATGTTTACACTGTGTTTTCAATTCAAATTTAGTATTTTGTTTCAAAAAGCATCAAATTTAACTTTCAAAGATACAGCAAAAATGCATTGTTTTCATATGCATAAAACACAACTCTAAACAACAGAAACTTCTGAAAAGTTTCTAGCATCACAGAAATACTCTAAGAAAACTGGTATCAAAAGTCTCTCTTACATACAATCTTTAGTGATCACTTCAGAAAATTCATTATAGACCAGTCTTTGGATTCATACTTGAGAGTAACAAAGAAAACACAAATCAGTTTATTCAAAGACAGCAACAGACAGAGGTTTTCAGGGGCAATACACTTTAAATGTTTCTATAAAAACCATAAATAACAAAATAGAGCTTTTCCTAAAAGACAATCAAAGCCATCAAAGAATCTAGGCACAACTAGAAAAAGAAACGTCATTTCAACTGCCCAATATAACTAGAAATCTAAAAGAATGATCATCTCACCAACACACTTAAGATACACAGATACACATAAATATTTTTTTCAAAAGTAGAGGAGTAATGCCATGCCTACAACTGAGAAAGCTTACGGTATATAATACCTTGAACCACAAATAACCGTAACCACAAAGATAAATCCTAGAATATGATAAACTAAGTCACTTAATATCAAAGATATGACAGGAACATAATGAACTAATTTAGAGAATCTGACCTTTTTCTCTTTTTTTTTGCAGTGACTCTATCCTGAAGAATTCTAGGACACTTCCCTTGCTTAGCAGATAAATATGATAAGTGTCAATAACAAATACCTTGTTAGAGCATCCAGAAAGGACACATAAGCTATGTTAAACCCCATTCAATTTTCAACGACCATTTCCAGTTTAAGCTCACCTCCTCCTTGAAGCTATCCACTAACATGTAACCAATTCATTCTCAATCATCTTGCTCTCGGGGGAGCATTTTCCACACAGCACTCAACATACTGTACTGACCAGTCCTTTACTTTCACACTTGTGCTTATTTCCTCCATTGCAACTCCCTGAAGACTACAAATATGTCCTACTGGGTTGAAAAATAAGTTCGAAAGAAATAAAAAGAGGTTTCCAAGGTGGTGAAGGAGTTCTACCTGGAGCTCATTTTGCTCCACAAACACATCAAGAATACATCAACAGGTGGATCAGTTATCTACATGTACAGGCAGAGCATCAGCTGATCACTAGCAGAAGACCTTGGATACTGGAAAGGACAAGAGGGATCACTGCATTACCAGGTAGGATGAAAAAAGATGGGAAAAAGAGGAGAGGACATGGGACAGGACCTGTGCCCTGGTGGGGAGGTGAAGACTGGCAGAAGTCTCATCTGGGGATGCCCCGTAACTGACAGGACAACAGACACAGGTGGAGCATCCGAGGTGTGGAGAAGGGGGAAACAGCTGGCCTGTGGCAGACGGACAGAGACCACACAGACGGCTGGGGCTACAGCCCTGTGCACCCAGACTGGGACGCGTCCCCATCAGTGTGCGCAGGGGCTGACAGCCAGGACATGGAGACAAGAGAGCAAAGCTGGGGAGAGGACTGCTGTTGGCTCTGAGGAGACAGCCTGAGGGGACGGAGGGAGGAAATCTGTCCCTGGGAAAGCAACTCAGACTGCCACAGGCGCAAGGCACCACTGCTGAGTGGTAAGCAGGGGTGGGAGCCGCCAGCACACCCTCTTCTTTCCCCGTGTGCTGGCCCCTGCCTGCCGATGGGTTGGGAAGGGTCCCAGCCAGGGCAGGCCCTAGCGCACCTCTCGCTGGCCACTAGGAAAGGCCCCCAACAGTGGGCCCACGCATGCCCACAGCTGAATGCCAGGAAAGGCTCTCACTAGG